CCTGCTGGAAGTGAACTAAGTCATGCTGATGATGCCAAAGAAAACATAACTGATTTTTCCCCACAGCTAGGCTATCCATTCTAAATGGACTACAAACTCAGGCAGAGCAAGCTCTGATACACCTCGTATTTCGCCTTCTGTGCATAACGGACCCTATTCCACTCACTCCTGCACTAACAAAAGACAGAAAATATTCATCTTACGCTCTGGAAATACCCCTAGGACAGCTCTTATCCACCACATTTTTCAAAGGTTCGCGAATACTCTGAGCAAACATAGGGTCATTTGGGAAAAGAATCTGGGTGTTTGGACAGGTCCAGTCAAAGTTGCTGTCGTCCAGCTCTGTGTATTCTGTAGTCTAAAATGGAAAATACAGATCGCCTGTTAGAAATGCAGGTTACACTTTTACAGGAAGAAAATCAACAGGTAGACCTACCCTTAAGTAATCTGTGTACTCAGGACAGCTGAATGCAGTAAGTGTCCTACAACCACATACATTTGAGGAATAAAGAACACATCATTCTTCTGTGCCACACGTTGTAATAATAAAGGGGAACCAGTGCACTACAACCCCTTTCAAGGGATAGATAAATACACCAGTTCTAATTTGTAACTTACCAAACTTGTATCCACAGTTTCTAGATTTTTTTTTTTTTTTTGCGGGAACAGCTAATCCTCTACTGGCAAACAGTACTTCTCAAGCCTGCTCATGACGTAGGTAGTGCCCCTGTACTTTTATGTGCTGGACAACTAAAGGAAGTATTACTATTTCATTTGATATCGCCTTTATGCTAAGTGAACCAGCTGCAAACTTCAGGTAATTCTTGCTTCGTATTACTAAGAATGTCACATCTTTTCACACAAACAAAAGATTCTCCTCCTCAGGAGCCATACAGACTTGCAACTATGAATGGGCAAGGATGAACCTATATATAATTCAAACAATCTCTATTTTCAGAAAAGATGCCAGAGTTAACATTCACATAAATCGCTGTTTTGTAACACGTAAAACCATGCAGAACATGTCAGGTAATTTGAAGCCATATTTAGCTTGTTCTTAGTTTTGCAAATAACTGGTTGGATAACTGACAAATTAATTTGCTCACCTATAAAAATTAATGTAGTATTTATCCACTTGCAAAAAACGCATCTGCAACATATTAGCTTATTAAAAAAAATCAAGTATTTAAAGGTTCCCTAAAAAACAAGGCCTAGAAGGCTGTAGTTTACTGGAATAAACACTTTAAAGTACATTTGTCACGCTAAGAGTGTGACAAATAGTAGTCACACCACTTAGAGAAGGTCTTGCAAGCAAGACACGACCTTTCCTGTTCATGAGAATAAATACAAACAGGATGTTGGGTTGCTACTACCAACTCTCAGACACTTCAGCTTAATAGCACTGTGTTTGTATTAAAATCAATTTACACATTCCATCTTTTCTTATCAATTCCCCCCCCATCGAATAAATTCCATAAAAGAATAACATCTTCACAGCCTTTTAGCCATTTAATGCATTTTGTTGTCACCGTTTTCAATGGCTCTTTCTTACTTGTATTATGCGCATTAGCAGCTTTGACTTAAAGAGCTTCAGAAAATTTGAACAATTTACCCTCTTTATTGGCCTTTTATTAACATTTGCTGTTCTCAAGAGAACTACATATATCAGGCCAGCACTTCACACAGCATCAGCTGTGGGAATCCTGTCTGTCTCAAAAGTTCTCATGTTGGGACCAAAAGTTACATAAAATGCTCCTTCAGACCCTTCAGAGAACTTCTTGCATAGTTTAAAAAGCATGGTCTCTGTTTCCAGAACTCAAAGACAAAACATAAGTGCTCAAGGAAAGAACATTCAGAGAGGGTGCAGGATCTCCACCATCAAGGAACAGGAAAACCCAACCCGCCATTAAAGGTATTACCAGTGTCAGACATTAAGAGCTAGTAATTAAAAGTTTTTCAGTGTCTAATGCTAGAGTCTGTAAAACAGAGTGCTTTCTACTCAATTTTAAGATTTCTCCAGGACACATGGCATGACACACAACACGAGCATTTTCCTCTGATCCAGGCATTATTTTTACCCTTTACTATGTGTTTTACAATAGAGGCACACTAACATAAGGGAGTTTACATCCCTGATGCCCTAGACACCTCTCTATTCACTTTCTCGTGTTTCTTTTGCTTGCCGGTAGTTTTATTGCCTTAAAAGATTAATTATGTCACCTTATTGAGCACAAAAACAAACAAGAGATGAGTATTTATAGTGCTTCACGGCACAGCTGTATTACTGTAAGTTATTTTGGAAGGTTAAGTAAATTGTAAACCCATTAATGTTCTCACATTGACACAATAGATGCCTATTGCATGGACTAAAACAATTAAATATCCCTAAAGCTTTAGCTGTATCTTGTCAAACTAACTTTGTAACAGTCTCAAAAAACCTTTCAGAATTTGCCACGGGTTCATGTAGTAAAATAAGCAGCAAAAACTTGGGCCTGTTATTGCAAATGTCTTAGAAAAAGTAATAGAAAATAAAGACAAGGATAAAAATCCCATAGCGTCTTATTTTCAAATTTATACAGAAATGAGGAATGATTTTCTTTTTAAATGTTGCTAATGTTCCACAGCTTTTTTCTCAAGATTCAGTGGTGCAGAATCCAGTCATGGAAACATTATTCATACTCATATGACTGTCACAGTTAATATGATGAAATAGTTCATATTAAATGAAGTGTTAAAACTGGTATACTTCAAACTATGATTTTTTCCTGATTTTATCTTCCATTTCCTCTCATAAAAAAAAAAGGAACTGCTTTGAAGCATCACTAAAACTGATTTAGATTTGAGCTATTACTTACTGTATTTTTTTTAGAGATGGTTTGGTTTGTAGTGGAAAGCCAAAGTGGTAATAGATGAGCTTCTGTAGTGAAGATATAGTCTTCAATGTCGAAAATCATGTCTTCCTTATCAGCAAACAGCAGGTAAAGATATTTAAACATTTCAGCCAGAAAGAAAGAGTCCATTCTATGGAAAAAGATGAATGTCCTTTAGGAAAATCCCCTTTTTTTCTAAAAGCATCAGTAAAACAAATACTCATATTGCTCCATCTCCGAAGACTTCATTACTATTACTGTTGAACTTCATTCAATTAGCATTCCTTCCACTTGGAAGAAACTATGTTTGGAGGGAAATGATTCAGCATGTTCAGTACAAAACAACATTATGGAAAAAAGAAATAAACCTCTTTACAAACTTCTAGCTTTGAAGTACATTTTCTTTGAAAGCAATTCATCTATTGCTCTGACACAAATGCAACATCATTAAAATAAAAATATTTTTATGTAACAAACTATAAAACCATTGAAATAGTTCATAGACTATGACAAATGGGTAATTTAAGACTTGGTTATCAAACTGAAGACAGACAGCTACTCAGAAGTCAGTTCAATTATATAAACAAGGTTATTACATTTTTTTAATAATCTTTTTATGAAAGGAAATAATTGCAAAAACTTTTACCTGTCTTCATGACTTCCTGTACGAACATCCTTCATTGCAGCAAAACCACAAGGTACTCTTGCATACTTGTTCAAGTTTTCAATGAGTGTTTTTCCTACTTCTAGATAATAAGGGTCTCCAGTAGCCTATAAAAGAAAAAACACCAAAACCCAAATCAAATATATAGGTGCACTTAGACTTACTGCACAACTAGCAGCTTTCATTTTCCTAATGCTAATTTATTGATTCCGTATCTTCTCAGCCAAGTAAAGTCTAATTTGTTAATAGTGCTAAACAGTCACAAGAGCGACTGCTGAGCTACTACTGCATTACCTTTTACAGACATGCAGATAAGCACACAGAAATACAGAAACGCAAGATGTTTAGGTTTGCTGCTCTCTGCAGCGGCTTTTGCTCTTAGTCTCCAAGATCAAGATTCAGAGAGCTCAGCAAGACCTAAACATCTTTAAAAATACGGGCCTTTGTCACTTAACAGTTTTCTTTCTAATTCTAGGCATATAAAACAAAATTCCCAGAACAATTTTCGATAACCAATACTTTCATCTTGTTTATATACAGAACTGGTTCCAGCAGATAAAATAAGCTGGAGATTTGCTACTCATTCCATATCGAAATAAAACATCAACAAAATTCTAGGTGCTAAACGAAGTGACCAAAGGTCAGAGGAATGAAAGGGATCTCACCTTATACAAGAAGTAAGTGCTTTCAGCAAATTCAGGCCTTAAAGGATGCTGAGCCCAGTGAACTCTAAAGTCTGTTGTGAATGCCTGAGGAAGAAAAACAGACAAAAATAAATGCAAGAATGAACACCAAACATGGGTTTATGTTGAATCTTATGTCAACTGTATTACAACAGCTCAAGTACACAACAGCAGAGGACTGAAGGCCCGACATCAGTCTTGGGAGGCTACCAGAACCCTGTCCAGAGGCCAAAACCTAAACTAGTGCTCTGGACCACTTAGTACAAGTGAGATTTAAGCTTGTGTTAGTGCAGGAGCCTGGGCACTACGCAGCCTCTCAACAAATGGAGTTCTGGTGTGAGGTGCCAGGTGAGAACTTGTGTCCCAGAGCCACGAGGCAGCACACAGCCTCCAATCGCTCCATCAGCACGAGCGCACAACCACTGCTGCAATCCAACCGATGCAGCCTGGTGAAGGGCCCTACACAGAGATCACCCCAGCTTTGACAAATACCACTTTTGCAAAAATACCTGCATGTGACACTTGCAGTGCATTTCAGACTGACAGATTGTAAGCAGCTGTTGCTAACCTAAGAAATACCACAGACTACAAGTCAGTTCTCTAAAAATTTCTTAGTGTACATAATTCACTCTTAACACGCACTGGCAAAAGCCTCTTCTGCAATGGCTCACATTCACTACTAGTTCATACTAGGGTTTAAATTCTTTGCTAAAGGGGATGGCATATTGGCTCAAATACAACTACCTCATCTTTCAAAGTTTCCTTTGTAACTACAAAGCACTGAAAAAACAACCCAAGAAACCGTAAGGAGCCAAATCATACCATTTTAAAAGCACTCAAAAAAAAAAAAATCATTCTGGTGCTTAGTGTCTCAATTTCCACATTAGGTGAATGCAATGTTAATTAAAATGTTCTCTAACAGAAATAAGCTTCCACCAGAGGAAAGTAAAAGTTACAAACGGAGTCAGAAGCTTTCTCATATATTCTAGGTCATCACAGAATAAAGACACACACTTCAGCAGGTAAACAAGCTTTTCTGTGGAGAATTAACTTGCTCAAAGATTGCAACTTGCAATACTACAGATAAGTATGTGTACCTACTGTCAAGGACATTATGCAAAATTTTAGAACATTCTCTCAGAACAAGTCAGTCTTTAGTTTCCCCTCCTCGGGTTCATAAAGATGACTGATCTTTAGCGTTAATGCTATTACATTACAAAGCCGCTACTACTACATGTGCTTATACAAGTTTTGCATACTGAAATGAGTCAAGGTCAATTTTGAAAGGCTGAAATATAAA